CTAATAAAGTAAAACTAATATGTTGTTTACAATCAGAGCACATACATACACATTTTTACAATTCGGGCGATAATTAAATGAACAAGGGTTTACAAGTAAGGTCTTGTTTATCGAATGAAGAATCATGTTATTATGGCAAGTTATAATTGTTTCCAAAGTTCTAAAATGCTTCATTACGCAACTGTTTGGTGATTACTGAAGGAATTGATAGGTATTTCAAATGGACTAATTGCTTAGCGAATATTAAAAAAATATATTATAGTGATATCCTGTTATTCTAAATGGGTATTTTACTTAAATCGTCAGTAAACCGAAAGTAAAAATAAAACGGCGACCTACAACTATCAAGCTAACTTTCTTAAAGCAAAGTTGAAAAAAGTGTTTTTATAAAAAGACCTTCTCTATTCTTACGCACTTTACTATTTTTTTTGTTTAATTTTAATATCTCCACTCTTTTCAAACATGTTAGTAAATACCAATTATTTTAATAATTGATTAACACGTTTTATATATTTAACAGAATTGACTTTTTCCGATAAATTTTAATATCTCCACTCATTTCATACATATGAAAAAAAATTGAAGTTGTTAAGTTGGGGCTGCAAAAGTTCAGTCAAAGCCAGCATCTATATGATACTACAGTTTTAATTGACGGCCTTTTTAAATACTCTTGACGAAAATATAATGACGGAAAATAAGCATACAAGCAGCTTCACTGATATATTTTGACTTCAAATTGGAAAGATATTCCATTTTGTCTGAATTAGCCATCAGTGCAATTTTTTACATTGAACATAAGAAATTCTTCACCTACGCTTCACAGCTTAGCAAATTATATCTTGAGCTGTTTTGTGCACGACTGGAAATAATGATGGCGTGGGTTCCAAAATATCAGAATTGTTATAGTTATATAAACTACAATAAAATTCGTTGTAATTGTTGTTTCATTAATTTCGCACCAATCAAATGTATTTTGTTATTTCGTTCTCTCCTTGAACCGTCATGAACAACTTAAATTGCATATGTATTTGAGTCGGTTAAATCTTATATTCCGATTGTTACTGTATGTGGGATAATTAGTAAAATCTTGCTGGAATTAATTAAGTATAGTTGACTAGCAGCTAAAATACACGCGTTCATCCTACGTAAATGTTACAAGATCATGTGCTTTCAAAAGAATTTATTGTTACGATTTATAAAGTCATTTAAATGGAGTTTAGCAGAACTGGAATTTGAAAAGAAATTTTGAAGGGTGAAAAGACGGAATAGTTATTTTTCAGTCTCAAGCCTCAAGCAATAAATCAGGAAACCTGAATATCCGGTTGTGGGCAGTAACAGTGTTCTAATCATCATTCCTGGTTATTTTATATAGGTATATGTATCGAAAAAACACCAAATCCACGTTTTACATTAGGCACAGATTATCAATATAGAAAAAGTGACTCACCCTATGTTATCTGCTCGTGAAAATGCACTATAAATAAATTTTATTCCAGTCGTACATATGCGCATTTTTCAAATAAATATAAAATAGAATGAAGCACGTACTACCGATTTCAATATAATTTGCTATACAGGGTAAAAATTAATATTTTTCAAAAAATCATAACTTTCAGTTAAGCTGAATGTAGCTTATTTTAAATGGAACCTTTTTCTTATACCTCCATCAGAATGATTGGAGATTTAATATGAATTAACAGCCCGCTGTAGGTCCAGAGAAATATGTATATTACAAAATCTTCAGTATTAAACTCAAATTTAAAATATTCCATCTACAATAACGCTCTTACTATGTGCACTTTCTTCGCTTATTTAATGTAATGAATGTAAAGAAGCTTTTTCTTTTGAAATTAATGAATCTTTTGGAACTTTTTAACTGGAAAATGTTCAAGCTGCTGTTCGTACAGCTCATATTTGTTGCATCAGCTGAATCGGTGATACGCACACCAACGGAGGCTTTAATGAATTAATAACGCGAATATTATCTCAGCGATTAAAGAAGCGTAATTTATTAAATCAATCAACAACAACTAAAAGTGTCAGTTATATGAACCCGAAACACCTGTGATTCAAATCCAAAACATACATGTCTTAGAGAGGCGTTAATTTTGGCATCCACCGCTCACGTAATTCGGTTATGCTCATAAATATCGGTATCTGAAGACACAATACAAGTTAAAATTTTTATCTATGGCGATACATGGGCGGTTGTTTTACATCGTGAATAACAAACAGTTATTTTGCTTCCTCTGTTTCTTGGAATTGCAATTTTTTAGATGTAATTAAAGTTTCTGGTTTATAAGTAGGTATACCTGACTTAATTGTAGTGCTATTTGAATCAGATGAATTCATTTTATCAAAATGGGGAATGTTGTAGCAACTGGAAAAAATAATTTTCTCTTGTTGTTTTACATGCATGAGAATGAGAGGCATCCATCTTCAGGCATTATTCAGAATCATCTGGCAATGAATGTTTGCAAAAATATAACATTATGTATTGGAATTCAGATTATAATTATTTAGTTTTATAATGAGGTTGAATGCCGGTTAGGAAGAATTAGAAAATATACATTCTTCTGCTTTAAAAACTGGGAGTAAAATTGTCTAGTCATGTCGTATTGCAATTATAACTGTTAAATAGTACAGTACTTAAGTTACATTCTAATAGTAGTTTTCGATACAAGGGCGAAAAGTGTCGTTTTTAGAACGACATCGTTTGACCCCCTCGACTTCGCCTCGGGTGTCATTTCGTCAGGAGTTCGAAAAACAGATTTTCGCCTTCATATCGAACAACATTTTTTGTTCGAATGAAAAACATAACACGAATCATATATCTTATACATTTGTATAAGTTGCATATTTTGCATGAAATTAGAGCTATTTAAAAAAATTGTGTTTTGCTGAACTTGCAACAGAGTTATAATTTAGAAATTGTAAGTAAACTTTAAATTATAATTAATAGTTGTCAATAAACCTACACAATTCATTAAAAAGCATATCGGTTACCTTTTAATGAAAATACTTTAAAAAATATAATGACAGTGACAGGTTCAATTTGTCACATTTGCCTTTGCGCATATGTGCGTAAAAGTAAAACAAATGAACAGAAAAGAAAAGTGCTTCTTTATGATCATCGCTTCTGATGGAAAAACTGCTCTTTTAAATTCATTCGAATAAAAAATACGTTGTCGGTCTCAAAATTGCGTTTGGTCGATTTTGACAAAAATCAATTTTCTTCAATTCTAGAAAATTAACGAATTTCCTGTTTATTTAAACTACTCCTACTTACCGTTTTGCATGCAATAAAATCCTGAGCAATTTAAAAATTGGGTAGAACTTGATTTGGAAAGCCTAATTTTCCTTCGAAGGCGATCTCCATTCGATAATCTATAAGATTTCATTTCTTTTTACGTTCCAGATGAAGGGTTTAATGGTTTCGACTCAAAATACTCAATGTCGTTGTGAGTCAATAATCGAACTGAGCACGTTTTTATTTATTTTTTGTCCACGCAGCTGATCCTAATCCCTCTAATACAGTTTTGCAGCACATGTTAAGGCAAGGTATAAGAAGAAGCTGCATTTCTGTGTTCTAGTTAACGCAGAGGTTTCCAAATTGCTTAATATTTCATATGCATACGCCCTTATGAGGGCCCCATGAAAAATATAGTGACATTTTTTTCAGAGGTTTCAAAATAAAGTTAGTGTTCCGTTACAATTTTTGGATTTGGAAAGTGTTCCGTTATCGAAAAAAACTATATCAGAAGGTCCTCTAATAGGTACGTAAAAAACTCCGGTAACCACAAGGATAAACAGTAAATTGTTTTTGGTACTTTTTCGAAATGTCCATATTGTCAACGAAAAATTGTTCTTTATTGTCATAACTTCGAATTGATGTGTATACAATAATTAAGAAATAGGCATAAATTTCTGTCTTTAACTTCAAACAAGTTAGGGTCTGTGTAATAATTATCTTATTGTGCACTCTTCCCGAGCAGCTTCTCGTATTCGGTTAATTAACTCCTGCTCAATTTGTGCCAGTATTCAGTAAACCATTGGTTTAATGTAATGTGTTCTGTGTATCTTACATACGTGGTAAAAATGTAGTCCTTTCTCGGTATTTATTTGATTCTTGAGAAAGTCTCAGTTGCCGCGCAATGCCCTCAGTAACCCTGGAAGGTTCTGCTGCAATTATCTCTAATTCCTGTTCCTCCCTGTCTGGAACCCGAACATCTATTGTCGTCTTCCTAGTGTCTCTAGAGCTGTGTTGGCGTAAGTTCTTACAGTGTGGTATTTTAGTGTGGCATTTCCCTATAACTAATAGCATATCCGTATATTCGATATTGGGGTACATTTTGTGAAAGAAGCTTCAAAGTAACTCACAATTTGAAATAGACTTGTTGTTGACATAAATATAATGGCATAAATCGTCATTTTTCTTTCCGATCGGTTAATCGGTTAAGCATTTCAATATACTACTAATCAAAGATGGGACCATTTCAAAACAAAGTTGAAATTTATTGTTCAACTGTTAAAATCCTGAGCACATAGCCCTGTAAAAGAAATTAGGCTAATTTTTCATCACTCTGTATATAAAATAACGTTTTTGTCTATAATTTTAAGGCATTTTATCAATATGAAAAAATAATACACCTGAATTAATTAATTTTTGGCAGCCATAAGATAAACATTTAATTTTTTGCATAAAAGGGACGACTTCGAAAATCGTTTTTGAGCAGCATTAGGAATTAGGTACATATTGAGAAAAATTCTGGTTATTCACTGGATTCATTTGATGACGTACGATACCTACTCAGATTTCTGTAAACGAAGATTATACGAGAATGCTCAAATCATGTGTGCGCGCATACGTGATTCAACATTCAACAAATTCCGAAATCTGACAAACAGTATTTATCTATTTGTTTTCACTTCTTTCAGAGTACAGATTATAAGTCACAAGTGTCACTCATTGACATTCTATACTTGTCTTCATCTATGATATATGATATATAAGCCTTGTTCTATGATATATGCACAGATCACAGAGTAACCTCTGTCCAGCTCTGTCTGTACTTTGAACTTTTGAACATTTGTTTGTGATTCCCTTTAGGACGATTTTTGGTTATCTCAGGCAATTAAGGGCGGACTTCCAGGATGGCCAAAAACGCTTTGATTAAAATAAACTATACCAAGGTATTTGTGAGAGTATAAACAGTTGAAGAATCGGCGCAAGTACGATTTTTACAGTTTCCAAATGTACTTATTGTGTCAATAAAGTAATTAAAACAAAAATATGGAATTATCCATAAAGTTATCAAGCAAACTGATGGAAATTCCTGCCAAAAAAAATTTCGCTAGTGTTCCCAAGCGGCAAGTTTTATCTGTATGGATCATTATTTATGTACTCAAGTTCAAAGGAACTTTTTTGATCAATATGGGTGTTTGGGGACCGTGGATCCCATCAATCAATTAATAATAATTGTCTCCATAGGCGCACTGGAGACTTATACGGCTTATAGTCGGCTTATATATATCGTTTGAATTAACACAATAGAAATTCTATGAACAAATTTATTCAGTTTTCGAAGGACCAGTTTGGTTAACAGTGTCAAATACACTTATTTAATAATAATAATAACCCAAATTCGAGCGAGAATTCTTACGAAACGCGAGCAACTATGTTCGCGTAAAACAAAAGAAACGAACTGTTTCTGAACATATTTCCATAAGTTGACACATTTAGACCTTTTTGCCTTAAAAACAGTCAGCAAATGCAGTGTTTATGATTCTCCCAAAGCCGGTTTGCCATTAGAATTATCTGAGACTCCCTGTATAACCAAAAAAATTCGAAATTTTATAACATGGCTGATTGATTTTTATAGTGAAATAGGCCTTAAAAACTGCAACGTTTGTCTAGTATGTACATATTTAAGATTTTTGTCTTGTCTATACATTTACGTCCAAAGACAATAGTGAAAGTTAAATCAATAATGGCCATTAACGGAATAGGAATTCAAGAACATCGATGTCATGTTTAGTCTGCCATTAGAATTTGAGACACTGCATTAACAACTGATTTTTAAAATTAAATCTAGTTGTCTTTAATACACACTTACAATTTTGTATTTAAGATTTTTGATTAAATTTTCAGTTACGTATGAAAACTCGGGCGGCCAAACTTCAATAAATAAAAAAAAATAAAACTGTACAAAGCAACGACCTTGAAATGATATTCGGACAACATTCATATTTTAATAGTCCATCAGAAATTCGGTTGGGGATGCAGACAAGAATGCCAATAATTTCAGGAATCTGACCGGTGCGTTCTTGTGGCTGCGCAACATTGACAACAATTTCAGGAATGTTTACTCGCGTATTCATTGATATGCGACGTAGTACCGCATTCCTCGGGACACCCCTGCTCCTATTGGTCCAATGCCTCCCATTCATGCGGACGGCTCATTGAAGAAGCTTGCGGTTTTGACATTTTCAGGTTATTCCAATGATTTTGAACAATGTTGGTGTTTTATTTGTAGTTTTTACACTTTTATCTATAGTTTTTATCAAATATTTGCATGGTTAGTTGGCGCGAAAACGTCGAAAGTTAAGCAAAATCGACAGAAATTTCGTGTTTAAGGGGCGAAAACAAAAATCTTCGTCTTTATTGAACGTTTAACTGCGATAGAATGTTGCAAATTTCAAAAATTTCAATTTTTCCTTCTTAAGGTCGAGCTCAATTCAATAATCCCAATAACATTTCTTATAGTTATTTTTATTCGTCAATTGATATAATTTACTGTTGTTTGTTTTTGTTTTACCAAAGATTACATAAAAAAATAATAAATTGTTATATAAAAAACCTTTTGCTATGACTAATACCATTTGTCTTTGTTAAAATTGTTTCTTTTAAAAACACCCAATACTGGCCAATACTTATATATTTTCTTTCATATTTACTTTTATGCATTGTAGCATGTCGCCTGAGATAATGTTTGCAATTTTTCTCAGGATTTCAGTAGTTTCCACCAACATTGTTCATTTCTGAAAAATAAATTATTACAATTAATAATGCATAATGAAAACTGGGCAAGCTGAGCATAATCCTTTTTAACGTAAATATAAGGGCTTTAGATATTGACTCTTTTTGTTTACTACAAAACATTGAACTGAAAATATTTATGATTAATTATTTGAGCTTAATTCGTCATAGTTCCGCTTTCATTCGCTTTTATTTGACTTTTTTTAACTCGCTGAAACTTCCGCCTATACATATGATGATTAATTTATTAAACTTCATTTCGTTTCGAAACTCGTACATCCTAAATAACTAGCACTTTGTTTCAGTTGTTTATCAATAATGAGTTTGTGGATTCATTGTCCAAAAAAACCTTTCCAGTAATAAATCCCGTCGATGGCGAGGCGATTGCCAATGTAGCTGAAGCACAAAAGGTAAGACAATGTATGCCATAGTAAATTTGTTTATTAAATTATAATACTAATAGAGAAATTTGATGATAATGAAATTTACCTTTTGGATACCCTTATCAAGTATCAAGTATAGCGTCAGACATGATGAATAATTATATACCTTAGCTTAATTAACTGTATGCCTTACAGAGTATTCAAACACTTTGCTCTCATTTCGGACAAACAAAGCTTTTTAAAAAATAACAACGTGAACTTCAAAATATGTACCTTATTTTCCAGTTATAGACTTTTTAAAGACATTTATTCCCATTCAGAAAACGTTTAGTTAAAAATGCTTTTCGGTTATTTAAGAAAATGGTTGGCTGGTTTGCTTTCAAATATATTTTTTTAGACATGGCTCTGAATTGATAAAGCAAAGCACAGCATCGACAATTACTTAATTTTATTACTTTCACATAGAAATTCGACTTCAAAATTATTACCTCCAGCTAGAGTGCAGCTAGTGGTTCAATCATATCCTCAGTTAAATCTTACACATTTTTCGCACAATTTCGAAGCCAATAACACTCAGCAACTATTAGCTCAAGGCTGTAATTTTGAAAAGTTCTTGTAGCATTTTTCATGTAATTTATGGTAATGAAATATCGATATTGTGGTTTTCTTCCATGTATCTTCAAAACGTAGCAGCTTTTATAAATTGTCAAATCCAGATATTCTTTGAACAGTCGTTGGAATCCGTAGTATTATTGTAAGAATTCAAATAGTGAGTTATATACCCACATAAATATTACACTTGGGATTTGTGTTATTTACTTCATAAAAATTTTTCTTTCAGGAAGATGTAGATTTAGCAGTAGCGGCGGCTAAAAAGGCGTTTGCTAGAAAATCGCCATGGCGCAACCTAGATGCTTCTGATAGAGGAAAACTACTAAACAAGGCAAGTCGCCTTTATTATGAAACACATCAGAAAATATACGTGACTGACTTGAAATTTTTGAAAATTGGTCTGAGGATCCCCATTTCATTGAAAATATTTACAGTTATTTTCTTTGAATTTAGAACTGCTGTAGATTAAAAAAAAGGTATTTTGCTATGCGTTTTAGAATCGAATCCTATGAGTAGATAGATAGGCATTTGTTAGCAGTTAACATAAACCTCAGATTAATTTCTTAATGTTTATTAATGTCTTAAGCATATAGTTTGTTTGAATGGACAATCGTCATTGAATAAATCCAAACAGTTTGCAGACTTACTGGACAGAGATACTAAAGAACTTGCAGAGTTGGAAACTTTAAATTCTGGTAAGCCGCTAGCAGCTGTTATTGGAGAACTAGAAGTTTATACTAAAATATTGCGATATTATGGAGGATATTGTGATAAAATTCATGGAAATACTATTCCGATTGGTAAGTTTTCGCACTTAGTTTTAATACACTTTTAATTTCTTTCTCTGATGTAAATTGGGTATGTAAAATAAAATGTTTACTGAATATTATGGTTCCTTGTTAAACAATCCCTAATTCAAATCTCAGATGGAAATGGATTTTGCTTAACGCGAAAGGAGCCTGTAGGAGTAGTGGCTCAAATCATACCCTGGAATTATCCAATTGGTATGGCAATTTGGAAATTGGGTCCTGCACTGTGTAGCGGTTGCACTTTGATCTTAAAACCAGCAGAACAAACACCTTTAACAGCTCTAGGTAAGAATGCATTATTTATCACAACATGATTCAGGCTTCAGATACAACGTACACACATTCATGTGTATTCCGCAAGTATGTTTCCTTATTTAAAACTCGAAAAGTTCCTCTTGAGTCGGCATTAACGCGACTACTACTATCACATTCTACAAACAGTGCAAACTATGAATTCTAAAAAAATGCTGTAGCATTAGCTGCGCTGACCAAGGAAGCTGGGTTTCCCGATGGAGTTGTAAATGTTTTGCCAGGATATGGCCCTATAACTGGAGAAGCCCTCTGTCTACATAATGATGTTCGCAAAGTAGCTTTTACTGGATCTACTGACGTAAGTTTAGCGCAAGGAAATTTGAGTTTAACTCTATAGAAGGTGTCCCTTAAATCACATAATATATATATACATTGTTGTTTTGTTTTGCCATTACAAGAAATCAACGTTCTTAAAGCAATATTTTCAATACTCCTTCATTTGATATTTAACACGACGACGAGATGTAAATTACGTGTTATTATTATTGTATTGTTTTGTTACGGTTCTTCTTTTTGGCTTCTTTCTCCCTTTACCAGTGACTTAAATGTTTCCCTTGCATCTCGCTGTCGTTTAAAACTTGTTTCGGTAATCCAGAAGTAAAAATTTTGCTATTTTGGATTTGGAATCCGAATACTTTTCAACTAAAATATTGGGTAGCTATAGCGAACAGAGACGTTTAAACGAGAAAATAAAAAGTTAGCGCCGTTTTTATTTAAGAATAAACGCCTTAAACGTTGCTGAAATTTGGAACAAACAATTTTGGCTTCAGATTTTTAATCCGAACATTTCAAATTCTTCGTTCGGAATGAAGTGTGTTAAGGAAAAATTACAGCTAAACACCTTAATCTGTTCCCTTGAATACTTCAAGCGCACAATTTGTTTGTTGTACAAGTTGGTTTATTGCAGTCAAAGAGCCTCATCTACCATAGTTAAAATATTTTAACAATGGTAATGCTACAAAACTATATAGTTTTGCTGAAAAAAACTATATAGTTTTTAAGGGAGATTCATATATTTGAGCAAAAAACCTGATAATCTTTCGAGTGTTGCTAAACTGCACAGTCTTTGATTTTACCAGTGCTCGTAATATGCATTTGAGGTACACAGTGCTGCACCTCAATCTATCCACTTATACCTACACCATCCATATCCACTTTATTACAATAAAAAACTGGGGACGTAAAAAAGTTTTATTTAAATAATGATGTAACTATTTCCGCAACTTTTGAAAGTATTATTTATCTCTATTTATGTTACAGATTGGTCACAAGATATTGGAATATTCAGCAAAATCCAACTTGAAACGAGTGTCTCTTGAATTAGGAGGCAAAAGCCCTCTAGTGATTTTTGATGATGCTGATAGTAAGTGGCCAATTTATATTTAAAGATAACTAGAGACTTATTTTTATAGCAGATATAGATGAAAATAATAAATTGCATGCTAAAATTAATTTGGAATAAGGATATTAGTAACTATCGTGTTCGTTTTCATAAAATTCCTATTGGGTTTATGTGTGCTTAAACACGATTTTTCTTTCAGTCGATGAAGCTGTAGAAATTGCTCATAACGCAATTTTTGAAAACCATGGCCAAAACTGTTGCGCTGGTTCTAGAACCTTTGTTCAAGCTGCTATTTATGACGAGTTTGTCAAGAAAGCTGTTGAAAAGGCGAAGGCGCGCAAAGTCGGCGATCCGTTTGAGGCAGGAGTTTTACAAGGTCCACAGGTGAGGATGTGTGCATTAATTCATTTTTGATCTGCATTTTATTTTTGGAACTGGTATGAACTGTCGGGCTACTTATATTATATTTAAGGTTTTTTTTGTTAATTTCAGATAGACCAACCATCAGTGGACAAAATATTACGAATCGTTGAAGAAAGTAAGCAGCAGGGCGCTAGGCTAGAAACAGGCGGTGCCAGGATTGGAGATAAAGGATTTTTCGTCCAACCTACCGTTTTCTCTGGTGTTTCCGACAAAATGTCATGTGCAGTTAATGAGGTAAATATCCAGCACTGTACAATTTTTTTCTTAAATATTAAGTCATATAATATTTTTCGAGCTGTGTGTTTATATTTCTTATTGGCTGAATGAAGAGTCGCCTGGAGTCCACTATAAATTTATTTCATTAAACTATTAGAGAGTTAGATTTAGTTAATTAGTCACTATTAACTAAATTTATAGTGGACTCCAAGCGACTCTTCATTCACCCAATATGTTATCAAGCCACTACCTCGGATTCAAACAGAATTTGTTTATATTTCTGTATTAAAACGTCCTAACTGGATCACAGCTTACCTAACTATGTTATGATATTTAGTTGTTTGCGTCTAAAAGTTTATCGTTCGAGTTTTATATATCTCCTCGAAAATCCGTCAACCAATTTCGATTATGTGCCCATACAATACAATACATTTCGGGGAGTAGTTATTCAGTGCTATGGCGAATGATTTAAATATAGAGAAAAAACATTATATTGTCGCGTTAATTTATTTTAATTTTTCTCATGTGAAAAATTCAATAGATTTTTGGACCTGTGCAAACTATTTTAAAGTTCGACACTATTGAAGAAGTGATAGAACGAGCTAATAATACCGCATATGGGCTAGCTGGAGGAGTAATAACCAAAAATATAAACAATGCACTTGTATTTGCCAATGCAGTTGAAGCTGGTTCTGTGTGGTAAGCAATATGTTGTGGATTACATTACTTGTTTTCAAAAGATGTAACAATATTCCGAAGCTAAAATCAAATCATACGCAGCTGTAAGTCTATTAAAGGAATATAATAGTTTATAAACGTGAATAATAGAATGTCGGTTCACAAGATGGAACTTAAACACGTTACTATTTCAGGATAAATTGTTATGATTATATTACTGCTCAAACTCCATTTGGTGGAGTGAAAAAATCCGGCTTTGGAAAAGATCTGTAAGTATTAATTCAGTTGCTTGTTCGTTTACCAAAACACATTTTCATCTTTTAGTGGAGCTGACTCTCTGGATGATTATTTGGAAACCAAAACAATAAACATTATGTTGCCTGTTAAAAACTAGAGCGTACAATTTGAAATAGAAGTGCCTAAATATAAAAATAAAACTGTTCGGGCATAAACAATTAAGTAAATGGAACTGGTGGTTTGCATTACAAATAAATAATATGTACAGGGTGATCCAAACTTGACGCCCAAGGTCTACTGCGCCAGAATCAGAACCTACAATTAAATTCTAAACCTAGAGTCTCATATGCGATGGTAAAACCCTAAAAAAAACTAAATGTGGAATGTAATTTAATTTGCAAATAACATTGGAAAAAATTATGTAATATAACGAAAAAAAGTCCGGATTCAAAATTATTTGAAATGTAAATTGATGATTTCTAAAATCGATTTTTTCTGTGATCTCCTTCAACTTCAAGATATTTTCTAATTCTTCCTGCACAGTAACTTTTTCCAAGACCTCTCTTGAAATGTTTCCACATGCTGCTTAAATTTTCTGTTTTAAGTGCTCTACGCTTGTTGGAGGAGTTTTATAAACAATTATTTTATAGCATAAATAAAGTAGAGGTAAGGAAATAAAAATCAAAGGGTGCCAATTGTGGGGACTTTGATGGCCATTCTATTGGTCCATCATTTCCCATCCACCTATCTGCAAAATGGATGTCTAAGTATTCCCGTATAATTTGTGCCTTATGCGGAGGAGCACCGTCCTGCTGGAACCACTTGTTGGCACGTAGCAGCAGTGAAATATTTTCAAGCAGAAGTAGCAATTGTTCACGTTGAAAATTTAAATAACCTACGCTATTAAGGAGTCCTTCGTAAAAGAAAGGTCCAATTTATATCCCGTTTGTGTGGTTTCTTGGACGGGTTATTTTTTCCAATTTGAAAGCTTATAACTCTTAATCCGAAATAAGCAGAGAACTTTTTTAAATAAAAGTTTATCGCAATCCTAAGGGCTACCTAGGCCACTTCTGAATTTACAAAAAAAATTCTTTTCGCTGAAAGTGTACCGTACCTTAGTGCATCACATGTGAGACCCTAGGTTTAGAATTTAATTATCAGTTTTCGTTTTGGCACAGTAGAATTTAGGCGTCAAGTTTGGATCACCCTAGCATTAACTGTGGTTTTTGCTGATAGTTTAAGATGAAAAAAAACGCACCCGCATTTTCAGTGCCAGTAAATAAAACATTTTTATATAGTGTTGAAAAATCAATGTTTTTTTTAGTAAACGCAATCTAGCAAAATATTTTTTTGTAATAATAAGTTTTAAATGTGTTGCCATTTTCCTAAGAAAATCTAATTCCATCATTACAAAAAAAATTATACAGGGTGTCCGGAAGTAAAGTCGAAATATTTTTGACGTGTTTATTGAAATTACGATAAAAAAGTACTTATATATAAACAAGGACAGCCCAAAATTACTTTTTTTAAAGGTGGAGAAACCCTTTAAAAGGATAAAGCTCATGTTCTTTGCCAGGCTTTCTAAACGGTTAACGCTTAATTGGCGAAAATCGCTATTCTGTAGTAAGGATAGAAAATTTCTTTGTGTTAAAAATTGCAAATTTTACTCTGGGGTGACTACGTATCTGCTTAACTTTTGTGCTCCAATCCTGTAATTTTATTGCTTTAAGATAATGCGTTTTTAAGAAATATACATTTTTATAAACCAATACACGATGCATGATTTTTCGTTTTTTATGACTAGTAGAAACTAAAGAATTCCATGGAATATTTACCGTCCACGGACATACAAGTGGAACAAGACCGACAAAATAATATATATTAGAAAAGGAAAACATACATCAAACGATGGATCTCTCGCCTATCGCAATTAAATTATCAACTTCTTCAGGCGAAGTCATTTGCATAGAGGCTAATTAATTAATTAATAATTAATTCTGTAAACGTTGGCTTCGCTTACGTTTACAAAAAATTCGTCTTCAACATTAATTATATCTAGCTTTTTCCTTCTCTTATTAATGCAAATATATGATAATCTGTCTTGCTCTATTCGCACAAACCCGCAAAACATATTCCTTCGCCGCACACCAAAGTTGACAGCTTAATTTAAGCCGAGCATTGAACGCTGTAAGCTTGGTTTATAATGTGCTGCAAACCAATTTAATTTTAAAGCTGAGCTTAATGGCAAAGCGTAGCTTAATTTGAAACCGGCCTTAATAAAACGTTCGTTAAAATCCCAACTGCGGCTTCACCGGCAGCGATGACAGGTCTACCGATTTTTCGGTAGATCTACCGATTCAGATGCAAATTTCTACCGAAAAGTAACAAATAAAAGTTTAAAAATTACCGTGAATTACTTATAAGAATATAACACATTTCCATTCATGATTAAAGTACGGTGGCAAAAGCATATAATAAGGGGATTACACAGGCACTAGCTTGCTTGGAGTTAACCATTCAAATGTTTGGTGTTGTATGGTTTATACAGAGGAATGACGCCAATTTTGAATCACCTTGTATATACTAACGTACTTCAATGGAGAAAAATGAGTCTACCGATTTTTTACGATATCTACCGAAAAGTGTCGAGCTTATCTACCGAAACTCGATTTTCGGACCCGGAACGCTGTTCACCGCAAAAGGAAGGGAACGTTCAACCCAACCTTATATTTCAGTAGTATAACTTTAGCGCCATTAGTAGATGCTTGTCTATCTCGCTCAGTCTGTTTACGTTTTGCAATACCCTGTTGTTCTGGCAGGGTTTAATTCATAATAAGTGTATTCTAACTAAATACATCTACAGTTTGCTCATTTTTTACTATGAAAGATATAACTCATTATTTTCCAAGCCCTAATAAGGTTGGAAGTTCCCCGGAAAGTGCGATAAGTCCCAACAGCCAGGGTGTTCCTTCTGGTTCAACTCCTAAGATTAAGAATGGTGCTAACAAGTCGGCCAGTCCTAGAATCAAAACGAAAAGAAAGCGAAAACCCACCGATCCGGAAGTTAGAAAGGTAATGGAATTGTTTTCAAACAAGTTTAATTTTACCTCTCCAAATACTACTCCAACTGAAGTCCCAACAGTTGATGCAGAAACACAAATATTGCAGCAAGAAGTTGTCAATGGAGAAAGTAGTAACTCGACGGTTGATCACAATACATCGCCTCCTGTCCCTGATGATAACGAATCGAATAATGTTGAATGTGACGGAGTAGCACCAAGCACACCAATAGTGAATGCCTTCCAGTTTTTAATGGAAAGTAGAAATAATATAATTGGCAGTAATTCATGTGCTAGTAGCAAATCCGAGTCGGAAAGCACGTGTGTAATCGATAAGTTCAAATTGAAAGCTAGAAGGAGATTGCTTGAAGAATGGGCTGATAAAAATGGAGCTTCCAAACGGAAAAGGGACGAACAGGAAATTGACTCCTGTATTAGTTTAAAACTGGAAAAAAGAGCGAAAAGACTTAGAAACATGCTTCGAGCTGATGAACTGAAAGTGCAGGAGAGCAACAAGTCTGATAAATCAAGAATCAATTCAAGCCTTTGTGGATCCGACTCAGAATGCAGCAACGACTTAACATTGCGAGAGTACGGTAGTAAATCATTAGTTAATGCTACCCAGCTAAGTGACAGTAAGTCATCTAATTCCTCAACATCAAATAGTCCTTCTCATAAAAGGCTCAAGGTGAATGGGCAAAACAACTTACTAAATTTCTTTGAGGCCCTTAGCAAGGAGAATTCAAGCAGTGAATTGAACGATTTTGATGAATCGCCTAACAGTGATGCACAACAAGTTATTAAAATGAAAATGTTCACTCCTTCATCGTCATCACCAAAAAACGGCAGAACCTCTATGTCTACGAGTGGTTCAAGTCCAGATGAAGTTAAAAGTAAGCCTCCGAGGAAGAAACATATTAGTGGGTCTTCGCAGAGATCCAAAAGGTCTTGTAAAACTAGAAAGGGTATTGTGAAATCGAATAAAGGGAGTCCCAAATTAAGGAAAAATTCCACGAAAAAAAGCAGTATTTCGGTCCAGCATAATACCACGTGTGCTAAAATCCTCACAAATAATCAGCCGCAATTAGAGTCTATTAACGTAGAAGAAACAGCAGTTGTTGAAGCTGGAGGGTCTAGAGACTTAGTCGTAAGTCCAATTCTAGAAAGGAGATCACTTAGAATGCGGAGAAAAGTGGATTACAAAGAGACCAAAATTGAGCTACCCACTAGTGTTAATAAATCCAAGAAACAATCATATAAAAAATTAAGAAATATAAAAGCAGATAATATAATTGGAAATATTGAGCTCTTATCAGAAAGTGACAATAAAGAAGAAAATAAGAAGGTGAATACATCAATTAAGTTGGCACCAGTATTTTTAAAATCCACACCAAAACCCAAACTAGATCTTGAAACAATTCAGGCCAGAAAGCAGTTTTTGTTAAGCGGCATCCCAGATTCATTGAAGAAGACTGTTGAGAAACAGAAAAGGTGAATATTTTTGTAATTTTATTAATGACCGTGATTATACACCATGTTTCATCAGTCGACGTATTTTATGCTGGATGTTAAAGTACAATTAATTCTGAATACCTATATTTTCTTAGAATACTATGTTTTAAAAATGCTTAGCTTTCGATCTATAGGGTTTCAAATTCATTAAAAATCATATTGATGAATGTTATAAAAGGCTTTAAAAGCTAACAATATGTAGATGTTTTGTGATAATTTTTTTCTTTAATTACCTACTCTTATCATGGACACAAATCTTGGGATAAGCTTAGTTTAAAAAATAATTCACCTATGATTTTGCTTAAAATAAGTCATTTTTCGATTTTCTATTTAATTTGGAAAACCAAATGTTTTAAGACTTTTTTCTGCGATATACTGTTTTGGAGTCAGATAAATGCATAGTGTAATTCAGTTTGAATTTATATCTAAGTCAGATTGATTTTATTGCAAAAGATATTTCTGTCCCTGATATTACCAGGGACAGTCTTGTGATCTATTAATACATATTTAATTAGATAGTAGATTACTTAATCCCTTAGCTAATATTTGTTTCATTAGTCTTTAATGGGTTAAACGTTCTTGGTACTGTATATGGGAAACTAATATGTTCAATTAGAAATTTCCTTGCAGGGAAATTTGGCTACTTAAAAAATATTGTTTTAAAATAAACCATGTTTTAATACTCTCAACATTTTTGTTTAAAAATAAAGTAGAATCTCTTACCGTTTACTTACTCATTTTCATTCATCAGTTTTACTTTATTAGCACTACTAGAATTAATTATATATAATTGTAATATTTTATTTTAGTGTAGAAGAGAAAGTCCATAATATATTTCCTGTAATTAGTCACGTACAGCAGAAATGCGAAAGCAGGTTTTGGAATCTTCCTTTTTGTGACATTCCACAACTGGCTAATGATCCGCTGCAAATAGATAAAGAGAACCTGAAGTGCTCAGGTTTAATAATAAAAGAGTTGCCATATGAAATACAATTAACTACTGCTGTAGATAAAATCGCGAATGTAAAAAGTGTTATCCAAAAAATGAAGGCCGACAATCCCGATTATCCAGTATTTAAAGTATTCCGACAGTTATATGAGCGGAGTGGAAAGCACTTTCTGGAAGAAAAAAAAAAGCCGCGCAAGCAATCACAGAAATCTAAAAGGAAAAGCCAGGACTTTGCATGTGAGGAAGATGCATCAAAGAAACACGAATTATGGATTGATAAATACAAGCCAAGGATGTCTGACGAAATTCTCGCCAATCATCATGGAGTTGTGCAGTTAAGAAAGTGGCTGGAAATATGGAAGAACTATAGTCAGGAAATTAATTCTAAGAAACGCAGAAGAGCTTTCAATAGTGACTCAGAATTCGAATCAATAGACTGTGATAGCAGGTAAGTCTTTCCATAGTAAACAAAAAAGTTTTCCAATTCAATTGAATTTCGATAAAAATTAAGTGTATCACCTTTATGTGAATATAAAGGGTGATTTATTAATTTTAGGAAAACATTTCAAAACCAACATAATTCGACAAACATTGATTAGGATTTTCGGTTATCTTGCTTGCTGTTAAGTAATTCCAATTATCTATACATTTTAGAATCATTATGTCTTTTAATTGTTGTGGGAATCAACTACTGACCGGTTTATCATCAACGATTCTCTGTAATGTTCTAATGGCATTATTAAAGATTTTTAATTACTTCGATAGTTAAGTGATACCTACCCACCTGAGATGTTTATTAAGATAATATAATAATTTTACTAATCGATAGACACATCTTAAGTACTTTTTAAGGATTCACTTAAGCAAGAAAACATTCTTCAATAAGTAACAAATAATAAATTTGCTCTATACAATTATTCCAAATTGACGGTTTCGAGAATCGGTTTACTGGAATTTAGTTTTAATAACTTCGAAAGTATGGCGAAAAGAAAAAAATAATTGAGTTTATTTCAATCAATTTGGGTTTTGCTACTCAGAAATATTATGTAAATGACCATAAATTTCAGAACATTGCAGATCTTGCTTAAACTAACGGAGATTTTTTATTCGGAAAGTGAGCTTTTAACGTTTTAATTTAAAAAAATGCAACTTCTGATTTTTTTTAAAGAAAATGAAAGACGCTAGATAAAGCTTTCATTCTGCTTCATAAGAAGAAACACTAGGGCAGCCAGCTAAATGTATTTAAATGTTTCGAAAAACTGGCCTTTACAAAATCGACTTTATTCAAATGAAGATAGTTCTAAAACTAATGATTAATGATGATGAAAATGATTCCTTTCACTTGTCTTTGATTTCATCTGCTACTTTTGTTGAACCATAACTGATTATAATAAAGCATTTGAAAACTTAATATTGTTTACAAATATTGTTTTTTGTAAATATCTTAGTTTTTAAAGTTTAAAGTGAAAAGGTATTTTTTTCTGTTTCTTTCTATACTACTAGTTCGAATATTTGTGAAACAAACTGCCAAAGTGAGACAGTAAGAAAAATGTATTTAAATAATTTTCACATTTATATAGGGATAGTACTTATTTGCCTGGAAATACGGTGATTCTTCATGGACCTTGTGGCTCTGGAAAAACAAGCGCTGTCTATGCAGTGGCAAATGAGTTCAACTTCAACGTCTTAGAGCTGAATGCATCAACAAGAAGGACAGGTGAGAGATTAGTGATTTAAACAATTTATTCATTATCAGCATAAGTAGAACAGAGCAAAATAAATACCACTTATTTCAAAAATTAGTCAAGAGACAAAGCTCATTTTCTTAAATCAATGTATTGGATTTGCAGGTAAAATACTTCTACAAGAATTAAAAGAAGCGACTCGTTCGCATCAAGTAAGACACGAATCATCGGTTATGGAGTCCACCAATCAGCAAAAAAGTAAAAAATTAAAAAAAAAAAAATGTCAGACTAAAGAGGCGGAGACAGGAAATCACCAGAAAATGTGCATTCTGTTATTAGAAGATATCGATTTGCTGTTTGACCAAGACGAAGGTTTTCTCTCATCACTTTCCCATTTGATAATGACAAGTAAAAGGCCTATAATTCTGACTACAACCGACAAATCGCCACCTCATGTACAAAAGCTTATGAACCAGTATGAATGTATATCCTTTACGCCGTTGTCTCCACGATGCTTGGCTGTTTGGTTGCAAATCCTGTGTTTGATAGAAGGATTACTAACAGACCGAGATGAATTAGGAAACTTACTTCAATACAATATAGGAGACATACGAAAAACCTTATTACAGCTGCAGTTTTGGGCCCAAAGCGGTGGGCAGTTGGAACGAAACAAGGAATATCCACTAAAGGCAGGAGGTTCTTGCAAAACCGTTATGAAAATTCGCGATGAAGACTGTAGTGTTGGACAGACTGATATACCTGAAGATTTATATGAGCAGAAACAATTTATTCATCGCCACAGCTTGGGAAGCTTTGAAATATTTCGAGTAAATAAGGAATACCTTATTCCACAAAATATAGACTTGGGCAATATCTGGTGGAACATTCCCAATATTTTGGACGTCCCTAGTTGCAGTTCAAGGATTACAGAAAAGCGTGCCATTGGAATTGAGCGTGCTGATCCAGATTCGAGAGACAATCAGAAAATGAAATCCCTATCAGGTCTATACGACTATCTGAGCTTGTCTGACTCGTTGCTCACCACAGTCAACAGTCACGTTTCCAATGAACCATTTGTTAATAGATCTGTCGAAGTTTTGAACTCCTTAGAGTTAACTGAGCGGAAAGAAGATGGCAATGCAGTGTTTGCCGAATTATTTCAGGATATGTGTCACACCCTAGTCAATGAAAGCATCGAAAATTATATGCAAATCTACATGACACGCCCCACATTAGACATGGGAATGCCTGATACAAATGAAAGAAGGTAAGAAATAATCAATGTTAATAACTTTACCTAAGTTCCATTCTGCTATATTATAAATTATATTTTTCTTAATTTATTTATGAATATAACAGAAACAAATTTAAGGGAAAACGCATTGGAGTGCAATGCGTATGTTCTTTTTAGAACAAAACAAGGGTTTTTAATAAAAGACCTTTAAAATTAAACAATTTTTGGGAAAGTAGATGAAAAAAGTTAAATATTTGTATCGTAAAGTTTTGAAGAGCTGAATTATACACGCGAGTTTGCAACACGATTTTTAGCCTGTACATGGTCATTTCTCGTTTTGCAGTGAAGCAATGTGTAAAAATACAAATTTTTGCAAGTACTTAATGATTAATCTTCATTTTATATATTTTAAAAACTATTTGGCTCTACTAAGGCCGTCCATAATCGTAATACTCCATAACATTATATATATTTGTTAAATATCTTTAAATATGTACTTTCAGTACTGGCTTCCTATCGAGCAGAAAAAGTCTATTTTCGAACCCTCCTTAACATTGATAAGATATTCCCGGATAGATCGATTGTCAGAAGGGGAGGGGGACCAATTGAATTGCCTCTAAGATCACTGCAGACTGCAAGAAAGATATTACCGAATGAGTGACTGTTATGAACATTTTTGGAGAATTAAAAAAAAACTCAGCATGCGGTCTAAATATATGCTTTTCCCTCTTTAATAAATTCAATGCATTTTACTTTATACTGGCTCTATTTTACAGATGGCGTGCTAATCTACACCTTTGTGAAGACTTTCTCAAACAACCAATTCCATTATCAAATGTCTTAAATAGGAAATCGACTGCTTTAGATTATTTGCCCTCACTTCGACACATTGCACGATCTGAAAAAACGAGAGCAGCAACGAATACTAAGAGAGGCAATCGTTTCAGGCATTACTTTAAAGGACTGAACATGCAATTTAAAGCGAGCACTTGTGAATTAGCTTGCAATTGTTTGAATATGGAGTAATACTCAATGCTGCTTAACGACGACTATTTTTATACAGTGTATTTAGCATGTATTTATGGAGCTGTGTTGCATCTTTTTGTGGGTGATAGATAGTTTATAATTTATACCGTGATTTTTTTAAATTATAGAAAAGAAAGCCAAAGTGCCTTGTGTACTTCATGTAAGACTCATCTTAGCCATGTTGTCGAGACTTTATAGGACATCTTCAAATAAACCCAACTTTTTATAGTTAAATACTTTAACTTTTTAGTAATTTCAAATATTTCAATAAGAATTGAATAAAAACGATCATATATAGATTTTCAATTGCTGTTATATGTTGCCTACATTTCTTTCTTACGTAGTTGGTGCCATCGTTGGCTAGATGTAAATACATAACGCAATTAATTATATTTAGTTATTGGATATAAAATTATATATTGTGTTTCATTTCTTATATACAACAAGTAAACAGAATTTTTATTTTGGATACTTTAAACAAGTGGTTTGAAATCTAATAAAATTGGGGAAAATTGTTGACTAAAAATCAGCAAGCGAACTATTCAGGATGTCAAAAGTTAACTGCAATGCTTTAGCTGTATATTCTTCAACAAAATGCTAACTCCTCTGGTATAAGTGTCGGTCTAATTTCTGAAATCTAACTTTTTTGTTTTCTTGTATAATATAGTTGCGTCTTATTTAATTGTTTTTTTCGGCGGCCCCTGAAAAATGTTTTACGATGTTTTGCAATTTTTGTAGGAAAAACCGTACTTATTTTTTTATAAACTAAATC